GATATTACCACTCCTGGCTTTTTACCGCTCCTGGTCACTCGACATTATCACCTACTCAGCTCAAGTGCTGGAGTGGACCATCAGAGTGCTACTTCTGTCTTTATCCAGAGGCAGAAAGATTGTTGTACAGCAAAAGCTGTACACTTTGTGGCTCACCAGCCTTCTATTGTCAATAATACAAGAATTCAGTTTTTTACCGAACTACAATATCACGTGAGTATGTACTTGTGTCTCGGAGAGAAATAAATTGACTTGAAATGCCAGTTCTATACCGAATAGCACATTTTATAGTGCTTTTTCCTCTTCTGTCTCAGTACTTGCCCCTGTTGAACTACTCATAATACATTCTGGGCCGAGTTCTTGTCCCATTAAAATAAAATGATATTGCTCACCATGACTCTTAATGATACCTGGATTTGCCCTTGGGAACCTGTTCTTTCTAAGGCCCTTGTAACTGAATGCAAATTATCTAGAAGGTTGTAGTCAGCCTCTGGATGCCCCTATAGCTGCTGCTATCCCATGAGATTAGAGACATCTGTTCTGAAGCATTCATCATAGGTAACACTTGTGTTATGATATATTACTGATATGTGCAGAGCTGCTTCTCATTCTTACCATGAAGGCAGCTTAACAAAAATTCACTCCAATTTTTGCTTTCAAGTTACTAACTCAGACTAACCTAACTATGACCCTGATTGTGGGCAGAAGAGAAAGAGACTTGTGGTTATCCAGAAGCTAACAAAGCTGGCAGGACTGTGGACGGGCACGAGGGTCCGCGGGCAGGAAAGGCCCAGGCTAAGGTCCGAGCCTACCTTTCTAAACGTAATTACTTGACGTTGGGGCTGTGGCCGCAGCCCCGCAGAAGCGCCTGCGTTGTCTCTGTACAGCCCAGGCGTGCGTGCGCTGCCTGCCTCCGCACAAGCGGGTCAACAGCTGCAAACTGCACCAAAGGCAAGGAAGCAAAAAGCCTAAGAAAGTGGTTTCCTGCCGTTTTGAAAGGCGGGCTGCCCCGGTTCTTACCGCAGAGCCCCCAACCCGGCCCCTGACCCGCCGCAGAGCCGGGCTCCT